AAAAAAAAAAAAAAAAAAGAAAGCTGTGATTTTAAATGTGGTTTTTGACATGAAATTGTTATTAGAAATAGAAAACTATTTTGCTACAAATTTTCTTGTATCTTTAAGCCAAGTCATGTCTAATCTTATAGCAATTGCGTCAAACTTTTGCCACTGAGTCAAAGATAGAATTGTTGTAAAGCACTGTTGCTTATACTATATTCTCTGACCAAAAATCAAAATAAAGTTTTCAGTCTTTTGACGATAAACGATTTTTTGAATTATCTGGTCGAAGTAAATCATGTGAGCATTCGAGAGAAGATGGAAATACTGGATAAAATGAAACGAGAATGAAATATGCTGAAATTAGATGCTACTTGTCTCAACTTTATGAAAACAGTGCTATTTGTTTATATACATAGCACTGGATTGTTGTTTTTTATGTGTGCAGTGTGTATAAATTGTCCTCAACTCTGACTCAGCATAGTGACATAATCTTCCATATTGGTTAAAAAAGTCTTGCGAAAATTTAGACTACAAACAACCTACTTGTCTCAATGCGAGCTAGAAGAATATAAGTATTAATTGAAAATAACTGTTCCTCAAATATTAGTTAATGTTACTGTACCTATTTTTCTTTAAATGGTTTTGGTTCATTGAGTTGTTTACTGCTATCTAAAAAAAGCAGTAGTTTACCAACAAACAGTTAGCAATGAACATCAGAAGCGTTAATAGTAAACAGGTAAGTAGATAAAACAAAAATTGCTCTTAATAGTTCACAGAAGCTCGTTTTAGTTTTAAACTGTTTTACTGTTTTTTTCAGCTGCAAAGTAAGGTATGATACACAAACCTGCTTAATCTCTTCAACCTATACCTGTTATTGTACTGTTTTATTATATTGTCTTGCCAACAGTAAATAGCGCAGATTTCTGCACTTTTTTTTTTGCTTTTGATATTTACTTTTAGCCTAATACTTGAACGCATGTCTTGAATAACTTGCCTTAATGATAATTTTCCAGAGCGTTATAACTTTAAGGGTAAAAAGAAAGTACTTTACAGGTCAATATAATTGTTAGTTTTTTAATCATAATTTAGAGAGCAACAGAGATTCTATTTTTTGTTCAAATTTTTCTCAATTTAACAGTTCTATAATACTTCAACTTTCTCTTCCAACTTCGAAGTACATACTGCTCTACTGTCGTTATTTTTTATTCCTACCCCCTCTTCATTTATGAACTAATGGCTTTGATGG